AGTTATACTCATCCAGCCAGAGATTTTTTTTTAATTAATGTTCAGATTTATAGTTTCTTATTCGGTATCATGGAATCTTCAGATTAAATCTGTTCTCTTATTGCTGATCCCACATATACATGAATCATGTAAGTTTTTTGCTTGATTCTTTGTAAAGGACAGAAGTCAAAAATACATAATGAAAGGTGAACTATTATTTAAAGCAGTGATTCTTAACTAGGGTGCACATTAGAATCCCCCCAGAACTGTTAGATGTCTGTGTTTTATTATGAAGATTCTGAATCAGGACTAGGGTTCAGGCATTTATATTTTGAAAAAAATCTCCCCATGTGCTGATGGACATTGGTAATTAAAACTTACTAATTACAAAATGACTACAATTAGCCAATTAATTGGGGAGTTCTGAATTTGAAAACTGACTAGGTGGGACACCACAAATACTTCGCTACATCCATACCAGTTGATACTAGTGCAATTGTTTCCTTACCTAACTAAATGGCAATGTCTTTGACTATCAGATCCATGGAAAACTCTGCATATTTTGTTTGCTTTGTGAAGCATACCTGAGGTGGTGGCAGCTTCAAGATTCCAACCAGAATACTGCCCCTGACGACTTGATCAGATATGCTAAGGAATGGGATTTCTATAAAATGTTTGCGATTGCTGCTTTAGGTAAGGAGATCTCAGGCTTTCCATTCTTAGTTAACTATTGTTACTTAACTACTCTGGTTAAATCTAAGACATGTGGTCTTAATCATTGGTAAGAAAGGCTAGTTAATACAGGACTTGTGATGAAATTTTCAGTTGTGCCACTACTAACCTACGAGGTGAGTGTGTTTGAATCACCTGCTTTTTAAAAATTTGTTACCACATATATGGTATGGGAATAGTTAGGCTTATCAGATTAGAAAGTTTCCTAAAATATTTTGAAGCATAATATTGTTGATAAAATTCCTTTATTTTTATTTATTTTTTTATTTTTTTGAGACAGGGTCTCACTCTGTTGCCCAAGCTGGAGTGCAGTGGCACAGTCATGGCTCACTGCAGCCTTGACCTCCTGGGCTCCAGCAATCCTCCTGCCTCGGCTCCCCAGGTAGCTGGGACCACAGGCATGTACTACCACACCATGTACTACCTCCAGCTAATTTTTATATTTTTTGTAGAGATGGGGTCTCTCCATGTTCCCCAGGCTGGTCTTGAACTCCTGGGTTCACGCAGTCCTCCCACCTCAGTCTCCCAAAGTGCTGGGATTACAGGTGTGAGCCACTGTATCTGGCCTATAAAATTCTTGATGTTTAAGTTTTGATTCTCCAATCTGAACGCTACCTAGGTCCTATCTTTATCAATAGAGATAATTGCCAGACATTACCCAACGTATTATACTAATTGCATTATACTAATACAGTGTAGTTAATAGAGTTCAGTGTTTTTTGTTACTTATTATTTACCTGACAGCATGCAGGAAATTTGGCTAGTCCCTAAAACTCCTTAAGTTCAGGAAGTGCTTTTCAGAATTGGAATTTATGACTTAAGTTACTATTTTCCTATTGTCAGAATCATGTTGAACTAATTTCTGTTACTATTTTATTGCTAGTTCTGTGTTTCTCTGCTTCTCAACTCTTTGATTATAATGAAATCTTATTTAGTCATACTAAGTCTCCAGTCACTCCAATACCATATTTCTAGGCTATGTGTCTTCTTTTATCCTCTTTTTTCTTTATCTGCTCTCACTCTCTTGGTCATGTAACCTGTCTGATGAGAACTCTGAAATGTCCATCTCTAATCTAGACCTTTCTCCTGACCTCCAGACTCTGCATCCATCTGCCTCCTCAACATCACCAACTGGATATCTAATAAATCGCTATACCCATAGCCAAGCTCCTCAACTCTCTGTCTCTATCACAGCCTTTCCCTTCTCAGTTGTAAGTGTAACTCCATTCTTCTAGTTGCATTAACCAGAAAGCCTTGCAGTCATCCCTGACACCTCTTTCTTTGATACCCCATAGTCAGGTCATCAGGAAATTCCATTGGCTCCACCTTCAAAGTACTTGTACTATTATACTACTACTACTCTCCATTCCCTCCAGGGCTGCCACCCTGATGCAGGCCACCCTCGCCCTTCACCTACACGACTATAGTAGCCTCCTTGTTCGCTAGTCTAGTTCTCCAGCTGTGTATTTGCACACAACACAGAGTAATCCTTTTCAACCAAATCAGATCATGTCACTGTTATGCTAGAACACAGTAGCTCCTCGTTTCACTCAGAGTGAAAGCTGAAGTCTTTACCATGGGCCTTGTACTGGGGTCTGCCCCTCCCAGTACGTCTCTCATTTTAGCCACAGCTATCATCTCTCATATCTACTCTGACCCTCCCACTCTAGTTAACTTGCTTCAGAAACACTGGATGAGCTTCCACCTTAAGGCCTTTGAAGTGGCTCTTTCTGTGCCTGGAATGCCTGTCCCCTTGATGTCCAGATGTCTGACTCCTGCATACCCCTCAAGAGTTTGCTGAAATGACACTTTCTCAATGACGTGTACTCTGATCAACACTACCCCCTCCCCTGACACTCCTGACCTCCTATTTCTGCTCTACTTTGTGTTTCTTATGGTACTTACTATTTACTATATAACAGAAGTTATTTATTATCTTTTGTTAGTGCTTTTCCCCACTAACATATCAACTAAAAGAGGTCAGGGCTCTTTGTTTTGGTCACTGTTGTAGCTCAAGCACTTAGGGGTCTGGCCCATAGGAGGTGCTCAATAAATATTCGCTCAGCTGATTGAATGAATGATTGCATACATTCATGTACTCACTCTAACTTGAGCAAGTCACCATCAGTTAGACTCAGTGATTATTCATTCACTATTCATTATTATTCATTCCCTTAAGAAATATTTTTTAAATACTTATTAGGTGCCAGTTACTACTTTAGGTACTAGAGATATATCCATGGAAAACTCTGCCTCTGTTATTTAATTACTAAGGCTTATGACAGTTTAACCACCATGATATCCAGTCTGTCGATAATTTTATATACAATTTGGACTTTTCAGCAATTTAAAAATAATGTGGATGTTTTCTTATCTTTTTAGATAATATTTGAAATATACAAAAGCATATGTTAACCTTTATATCTTATGAAACATAATAGCACTAAAAACATCCTTGAGCACATCACCTAGCCCAAAACTAGAACCTAATATAATTTTAAATTTCAAAGCCTCTTACATTTTTTTTTAATTATCATTTTTTTAAGAGTCAGGATCTTGCTTTGTCACCCAGGCTAGAGTGTAGTGGCACAGTCAAAGCTCTCTGCAGCCTAGAGCTGCTGGGCTCAAGGGATCCTCCTGCCTCATTTTCCTGAGTAGCTGGGACTATAGGTACTTGCTACTGTGCCTGGCTAATTAAAAAAAAAATTTTTTTTTGTCAAGACAGTATCTTACTCTGTTGCCCAGGTTGGTCTTGAACTCCTGGTCTCAGGCAGTCCTCCCATACGGGCCTCCCAGCTGAGACTGCAGGCATCAGCCACTACTCCTGGCCCCTCTTAAAATTTCTAAAGAGGTCCATATTTTTTATACTATACTATTAAAAACCCAGCTTGTTTTTAAATGGTTTGGAATTCCTTTAGCAACTACTCTATAGTGGATATTTTGATGCTTAATCGGAAGTTTCTTTGTACTATTAACATTTTTATGTATCTTAGTCTAATCCCGAATTAGACTGTATAGCCCAAAAGGAGTTTATTAAGAATATCTTGGCCAGGCGCAGTGCCTCACACCTATAATCCCAGCACTTTGGGAGGCCGGGATAGGTGGACTGCTTGAGATCAGGAGTTGGAAACCAGCCTGGGCAGCATGGCAATACTCGGTCTCTACAAAAAATACAAAAATTAGCCGGGCAGGGTGGCATGTTCCTGTAGTCCCTGCTACTTGCGGGGCTGAGACAGGAGGATCACTTGAGCCCAGGAGGCCAAGGCTGCAGTGAGCCATGTTCATGCCACTGCACTCTTGCCTAGATGACAAAGTAAGACCCTGTCTAAAAAGAAAAACTTACATAAATATAGCATTTTATAATTTAAAAGCTGCTTTTACAGGAATTATTTAATTTTCACAATCATCTTCTGAGGTAGGTAGGTAGGTTAGGGGTTCCCCTGTCTACAGCTGCAGAAACATAAATGCATAGATTTTCCCAAAGTCTCACAGTGGGTCGGTATCAGCACTGAGACTGAGGAGAGTCTCCTAGCTCCCCTTCAGTGTTTTCCACACCACAGCATTCTACAGGTGGGTAGCAGCTCCTACTGAACTGACCTGATTGATGAGAGAGCCTGAGGGCTGGTGCAGTTCCATAAATCTCATAAATCCTAAATTTAACAGATGTGGACGTTATCTAGTCTAGCCTGTCTGGTGCAAGAAATCTTTTTGTCTAGACTTCTGAGAGATGGTGTAGCTTTGAGTGTTTCCAGTGACAGGAGACAACCCACCATTGTTAGATGGTTCTTGTTATTTGCTGTTCATTCACTATTCATTCATTCAAGGAATTCTTTACTACTTTACTATTTTTATCCAAAATCCAAGCTTTACAATCTACCTGAGTAGATTCTTGTAACTGACAAGACTTTTAGTTATTTTGAAGGGAGATGGCATCTCTCCTTTGAAGAATGCATCATATTTCCTAGAGGTTAACCATCCTAAATTATTTTTATTGATCCTTATCACCTACCTTTGGAACCTCTTTAGTTTGGCTACATTAAGTTTAAAAAAGAAGATAGTTGTTTCTGCTGTAATGCAATATGTGTGTTCCAGAGAAACCTGATTCTGCAGAAACGTAAACTGCTAATAACATAGCTTATATGGGAAAAAAATAAATGAGGGACTGACCACTCAGAATGGAAGCAGTTGGGTAATCAGATGAATAACAATCCTATTGAAAATTACAGCACAGTTAGATGTTAAATTCCCAGTTAATAAGAGCTGAACAGATTGTGCTGTGTTCTGTCTGTAGGACACAGTGGAACTATTGCTGCTAATCTGGACTCTGTCCTATGAATACTTTCTGGAAGTATAAGGAATTGCATTTTAAGATGTTACTAAAATGAATAAGGAAATATTAATTAACAATATTCAAAAGTTGTGTAGATAATAGGCACTTAAATAGTGGAAGAATGCACAAAGGAAAATGTCTTCCTGTGTTATCCCATTCTCAGGAAAGGTCCCATCTGTCAGACTCCATTCTCCTGTTTCATTCTTCGGAGATCTCTTACACTGAAGATGTTGAAGCAGAATCTTATTTCCTTCAAGGGTCTTCAGAAAGTTGATGATTACAATTCTAATGGAGTTACTTTTTCTTCAGTAGATAATGTTTCTGAAATGATATCAGCAGGATCTGACACAAAAGCCAGGGGTTTATTTTAAAAAAAAAAACAAAAACAAAAACAAGGGCTGGGCGCAGTGGTTCACACCTGTAATCCCAGCACTCTGGGAGGCTGAGGTGGGTGGATCATGAGGTCAAGAGTTCAAGACCAGCCTGGCCAAAATGGTGAAACTCCATCTGTACTAAAAATACAAAAATTAGCTGGGCGTGATGGCAGGTGCCTGTGATCCCAGCTACTTGGGAGGCTGAGGCAGGAGAATCATTTGAACCCAGGAGACAGAGGTTGCAGTGAGCCAAGGTCACACCATTGCACTCCAGCCTGGGTGACAGTGTGAGACTATGTCTCAAAAAAAAAAAGAAGAAAAGAAGAAGAAGAAAAAGATTGTGATCTTGAGAAAGCATTTGTTAAGAAGTCAGCTGATAAGCTGTATTTTGGAATTGTGATTTATTTGTTTTTAGGGAGATATATTTTGGAGGGGGACATTCATACTTTAATGTTCCATTTTCTCTTTAGAACAAACTGCCTATTTTATTGGCATTTTTACCTTCCTGTGGGTACAACTGCCCATGACGGTGAAAGAACAGCCCAGCTTCATTTTGCTGCTGAAAGCATTATTATTATCCAGCTACGGAAAACTCTTGCTGATTCCAGCTGTCATTTGGGAACATGACTACACACCTCTGTGCCTCAAACTCATCAAAGTATTTGTTCTTACATCAAATTTTCAGGCAATTAGAGGTATGTTGATGTGTTTATTCTGCCTTCTCAGCTTTCAACCCATTAAAAAGCTTAAAGCCTTGTTTCTAGTGTGCAGTTTTTCTATAATCTGTTGAACACTGGTGTTCTTCATTGTGTAGTAACAATACCTAACACTGCTATAGCACCTTATACATAGCAGGTACTCAGTGTTTTTTATATTTAACCACATAGTACTTTATAGTTTTTTAAAATGCTCTGATATACATCATCTGTGTCCTGTGAGGTTAGAAGAACAGCCATTATTTGACTTTATGAATGAGCTTCTGGGGCTCTGAGGGTTAAGTGACTTGTCCAGAGGTACATGGCTGGGCATTTATTAAGTCAGGAGAGAATGCTGAGTATCTGCCTCTCAATCCATGACAATTGCTACTATATCAGGAAGAGTAGCCCTGTATGTCTTCATTTTTCCTGTACATTGTACAAAGTGCTATTTTATTTATTTATTTGAGACAAGATGTCATTCTGTCACCCAGGCTAGAGTGCAGTGATTTATCACAGTTCACTCCAGCCTTGACTTCCTGAGCTCAAGCAATCCTCCCACTTCAGCCTCCTGAAAAGCTGGCCACAGGTATATGCCACTACACTCAGCTAATTTTTTGTAGAAACAGGGTTTTGCCAGGTTGCCCAGCCTGGTCTTGAACTCCTGAGCTCAAGCAATCTGCCTACCATGGCCTTCCAAAGTGTGAGAACAGGCATGAGCCACTGTGCCTGGCCGAAGTCCTATTTTAAATGGACTTATTACCTGACACTTTTTATCCGAGTGCTTGTCATCTTGCAAACTGTGACACTAGGAGTATCATTTTGTGTTGTTGTTATTCTCTTATAGCCTTAGAATTTTTTTGTTTTCTCCTTTGATATTCATGGGAATCTGCCACTTGATTTGAGGAGGAGGAGCTCAGTGTTTTGTTGTAAGCAGAGGCTTTGGTTCTCTAAAAACATGTACATGGAAAAGTGGGAGAAGGTAACAGCATAGATTAATAAGAGCAAATACAGATTTTCTAAAAACAGCTTTACAAAACAATTCATACTATTCCAAAATTTACATGTCAATATCATTTCATTAATTCTGAACTGCCTTCTCTTTTCCAGTGACCCTAAACATCAATCGAAAGCCCTGCTTCTTGGCCATGTTGAGTGGCTTACTGCTGGAAAGCATCGTGGTCTACTTCTTCCAGAGGGTGGAATGGGATGTTGGAAGTGATTATGCCATCTATAAATCGCAGGACTTCTGAAGAGGTACGGCAAACATGTAGTATTCATGCATTCAGACATGTAGCCTTCTCAAATTAGACAGATGTCATTGTAAAAGAAGTCAATGCCCTTACATAACCCATCCTCTAGCATCTAATTGCCTCATCTTCCTCAAGGACTTTAGTATGTGGCTCCCAGGGGTCTTCACTTTAGTTCCTTTTGTCACCTCCTGGGACATCAACATCCATAGTTTTTTTTTTTTTTTTGCTTCTAGGGCCCTATTCTCACAATTTTTCTAACACCTCTACTCCTACTGATTCTACTAGGATTGCAGACTTTAAAACTGTCTCCTTCCCTTCCCAACCATTCTCCACCCTCCCTTCCCCCATGCCAGCTTTTTGCTGCCTTTCTCACCTCTACTCTCTCAACCTCTCACTTTCCTCTACTTCTGACCTGCCTTGCCTTTTTTTTAACTCCACCTGGAACGTGTAGGCTACGCTGAGCTATTCTCTATTAGTACCTTGACATCCATTAGCCTCTTGCCTTCCATCATACACGCTTTGCTCAGGCTGTTTGGGTGAGTTGCCACCTGTCTCCTAGAGAGCCTTGCAGTGCTTCCAGAGCAGCCACCCCTGCCAGTGCACAGAAGCTCAGCAGACGTCGTGCTGCTCTGTGCCTTCATAGTCCCCTCCAATGACCCTCCCATCAGAGGGCCATACCTCGAAGGTTTTCTTCTGGTTGTCCCCTATGTCTGCTCTTACTTTGCTGAGGATTGAGACCTTCACAAGTTCCTTAAGCTTCCCTCTTCACTTCAGGTCCTCTTCAGTCTTCCTTGTTCTTCCCTCCTTCTCTCCTTCCTGTCTCGTGTTGTGCTCAGCTTCCTCTCTGGGGCTGTTTCTGACCTGTGGGTGTTCTCCAGTCAAGCCAGACTGTGGACAGCAGCCTCTGTGTTAAGAGCAGGATCTTAGGCAGGACCCCGGAAGGCTGGGCCAGAGAGAGGAAAACCCAGGAGCAAAGGAACACAGGCTTCTATCAGGGAGAGTTGAGGCTGTGCTTTGGTCTCTCCCTCCTCGCTTGGTGACATCCTCCTTGTGAGTAGCTGCTGTAAAGCTTCTCTGCCTCTCCTAACATGCCATCCTCCACTTCTGTTGCCTCAGTCTTCTCTCTTCTTGCCCAGCTAATCCTCCTTTTTGAGTCTTCAGACATATTGCTACTTCGTTTGCCCTCTCCTCTATAGCAGCTGACTCCCCTCTGTACATGCATAGCTCTTCATTCCAGAACAGTTGATGTAAGCCTGCTTCCCATTTCTTCACTACCTTTCCTCCTTGTAAAACATACTTTCTCCCAGAGTCTCCTGAACCTATGCTCCTAAAATTCACAGGGAGGGCAGGGCACAGTGGCTCATGGCTGTAATCCCAGCACTTTGGGAGGCCGAGTCAGGAAGACAGCTTTAACCCAGGAGATCAAGACCAACC